AGCAGAGGAACAAAGCACTGCACAAACATACATTCTCGGAGGTCCGCGCGGAGTCCCTCTGCATCGGTGCTGGGCCGCGCGGAGCGCGCCAGGGTCGCGCGGGTGGGCCCCCCACGCTGCCGCGCGGAGCACGCCGGGGGCAGCGCCGGGGGGCGCCGCCAGGGGGGCCCCAGCGCCGATGCGAGGCATCCGCACGGATCTCCAGGAAAAGACTCGTCTGCCGTCCCTGGTTCTCCGACGCCTTCCCGTGCCGTCCCGATGGCCCGTCAATCGGGAAGCTGGTCTCGGCTACACGCAAGGGCGGCCCTGGGTAAGAGTGGCCTTTGGTGCGCGGCTTTTGGGGGGCCGCGGGGGGACCAAACCTGGGCGCTCAAGCCGCTGCTCCTGCTTCGGTTTCAGCCATCTGGGAACCCATCTGTGCCCGCACCCAAAAGTCACTCCGGCGAAAGGTCACTCTTACGTCTAGTCGTCTAGTCGATGGTCTTGGACACGGAGCGTGGCAATGTTGTCCCGCCCCCACCAAGCCGGTGCCAGGTTGACTACACGTAAGCGTGACCCCGGGCAAGAGTGGCCTGTGGTGCGCGACTTGCGGCGGGGGCCGCGGGGAGGCCGAGCGCGAGCGCACACGCAGCTGCTGTCGCATCGGATTCAGCCATCCCGGGGCCCAAATGTCGGCGGTGGACAAACCTCCCTTTATGTAAACCTCCCCTTAGTGAAACCGGCCTGGGACCGAAACCGACGGACCTGAACCAGCAAGAATGACGGCCGCGACGACCCCTCGCGAACCGACAACGGCCAATTCCTCAATCGACGTGTCAGGGTAGGAGGTCTGCCCACCCCCGAAAATGTGCCCGCACCGGTGGTCACTCCGGCGAAAGGTCACTCTTACATGCAGCCGGGGCTTTGGCCCTCCGAGGCAGAAGCCGTCGGGACAGCATTCCCGTGCCATCCAGGCCTCGGAACAAATTAGCGAACACATGCCACATTTATCCGTCAACGCCCCCCCCTCCCCCCAATGTTCAAAGTTGGCGGTGGGTCTGATGAGATGCACTTCGACCGCAGTATCCCCCGCGCTTGCCAACATTGAGTTTTGGGGGGAGGAGGCGTGTTCAGTGATTGTTTCCCTCTACCGTCGCGGTTCGGAAAGCTGGCCTTGAACAGGGCGCGTGGCGATACCCGTCGGTCGGAGGAAGTGGGCAGAAGCATGAAGCAGCAAGGCGTTGGGAGTAGTTAGACTGGGCTCCGGGCCGCCCCCAGAAGAGGAAGGAAAAGGCGAAGCGAGTCGATCCTTGAAGTAGGAAGGTACCTAAAGCATACTGGGACCCGAAAACATCGAGAAGTACCTGCACTCAACGGCCGACGTGTAATGTGCCCGCCCCCAACTGGGCCACTGCTGGGGCCGGTCCGCTGCAGGCGCCGAAGGCCTGGCCCCGCGAGAGGTGCGAGTGACCTCAGCATCCGTGCGGGCTCGGCTCTTGGGAGCCCTCTGCTGTCCTTGCTGAGATCACCGCCGTGGCTGCCCCTGCTGGGATCACCGCCGTGGCTGTGATGATGAGGATGGCGGTGATCCCTGAGATCCTGGCGTTGCAACGCGGTTTCGCTCCATGTCGGGCCCGGGACCCTCACATATCGATCCGACCCGCAAAATTACGCAAAATTCCGATCCGATGACGATGATGATGATGATGGCAGTCTTGATGATGAGCAGCAGCAGCATCATCATCAGCACCAGCATCATCATCATCGTCATCGCCATCGTCATGAGCATCATCGTCGTCAGCATCATAGTCATCATCAGCATCATCATCATCATCATCATCATCCACATCCTCATCATCGTCATCATCATTAGCATCATCATCATGATCATCAGCCTCATCATCATCAGCAGCAGCATCATCATCAACATGGCCACGCTGCTTGTAGAAGGTAACATAGCGCTTAAGCTGGTTAGAAATTCCCTGATGGCCTAAGAAGGTCCAGATCTGGGCTAAGTGGGCTCCGCCCGCTTAGCGAAGTCATCCAAGACCCCCATGAGCCACTTAGGGCACGTGTAGCCCACGTGCAAATTAGGTCAGGCCAGATGCAACCCGCCCTAGCATCCGCTTCGAATGCCCTCCCCAATTGGCAACCCCGCAACCCCCGCGGTGACCCACGTAATGCGGGATGACGATAAATAAACTTATCCCAGTGCGACCCTACCTAGGAGTTGAAGGATCTAGAAAAGCAACATCTAACATCGATATGAAGCTAAGCCAAGCTAAGATGAAGCTACGCTAAAATGAAGTAATATAAGCTAAGCTGACCTAAGATTCAAAACTGAGGTAAGATGAAACTAAGCTAAGGTAACGAGCTAAGCTAAGATGAGATAAGCAACGCGAAGCTAAAGGAACGTCACTGGGGGCACCGCGGAGCGGATGCCGGGGGAACCGCCTGGAGCGGGCCCCACTGCCCGGCCCTTTAAGCTACCGAGTAAGAACCCTTCTAGGCAGAGCCTAGGTAAGGAACAAATGGGAGGGAACGATTAACAAAACTAGTTTCCTGCTATTTCTGCACAAGTTTCTGACTGGAGGAGAGCGATTTAAAAACATAGTTGTCCAGCCCGCGGCCGGTTTTTTCGAATCGTCACCCCGGGCGCCGCCGCGTGAACACGACCCCCGGTCATTTATCAATCGTCATCTTTCAGTAGGTGCCCCATTCAAGACGAAGCCAGGATCGGGACAGAGTCGGACCACGACAGCTCGGGGATCCCTGCGCTCCCAGAGCTGCACAAGGGCGCCGCGGCCGTCCCAGAGCGCCCCGCAGATGCTCCGAGAGCGTGCCGGGACGCCCTGGAAGGACGTGTCCTGGTCCTGGGCATGACCGACTCCTCATCGTCGTCGTCGTCCTCCTCCTCCGCCTGCTCCTACTCATCCTCCCCTTCCTCCTCCTCCTCCTCCTCCTCCTCCTCCTCCTCCTCCTCCTCCTCCTCCCCCTCCTCCTTCTCCTCCTCCTCAGCCTCCTCCTCACCCTCCTCCTCCTCCTCCTCCTCCTTCTTCTCCTCCTCCTCTTCCTCCTCCTTCTCCTCCTCCGCCTCCTCCTCCGCCTCCTCCTACCCCTCCTCCGATAGCCCCTTCCTCAGGGCCCCATATTTGAGCCGTCGGCTCCTCCTCGTCGGCGGGGAGGTCCTCCTCGGCGGCGGCGCCAGGCCGCGGACGCATATATCGTCGTCGGCGTCGTCGGCGGCGTCGGCGTGTGCGTCAGTCGTCGTCCGTCACCGACAGCCGCCGTGCTCATTGTCGTCGGCGTGGTCTCTGGTCGGTCGGTCGGTCGATATTTCGTGCATCGTCTTCGTAGCCGGTCGTCGTGGTTGCCGTCTTCATCGTCGCGGCGGTCGCCGTCGTCGCCGGCATCGTCGCCGTCGACGTCGTCGATTCTCGTCGCTGGGAGAAGAGAAAGAAGACGGAAGAGGGAGGACGGAGGATGAGTCGGAGGAGAGAGGGAGGTAGTTTCCTCCTCCCATCGCCCTGCCCTCCTCTCCTCTTCCTCTCTGGTCCCTCCCGCCTCCCTCCCTCCCTCCCTCCCACCTCCCTCCCCTCTCCCTCCTCCCTTCTCCCTTCTCCTCTCCCTCGCTTCCTCCCTCCCTTCCTCTTTCCCTCCCCCCGGTCGGTCGGTCGGTCTGTCGTGCATCGTCTTCGCAGTCGGTCGTCGTCTTTTGCCACCTTAAACGGAGCGGACGTCGTCGTCGCCAGCATCGTCGCCGACGACGTCGTCGAGTGTCTTCGCTGAGGGAAGAGATAGAAGAGGGAGGAGGGAGGACGGAGGATGAGTCGGAGCAGAGAGGGAGGTTGTTTCCTCCTCTCCTCGCCCTGCCCTCTTCTGTCCCTCCTCCTTGGTCCTTCATGCATTCTCCCTCCTTCCCCCCAAACTCCCTGTCCTATCCCCCTCCTTCTCTACCTCCCTCCCTCCCTCCCTCCCCCCAGTTCCCCCCTCCCTCTTCTCTCCCCCTCCACTTCCTCCTCCGCGTACTTCCCCCCTCCCCCCTCACTCACATTCCCTTCGCGCGCTTTCGCGAGGGAAGAGTCACTGGGGAGGATGGAGGGAGGAAAGGCGGGGGGGTACGTGGAAAGAGGGGGGGGGGGAGAAACGGGAGAGCAGGAGAACGAGGACGGAGGAGGGATTACCTAGAGGCTGGAGGGAAGGGGGAGGACGGGACGAGAGAGGAGGAGAGACGAAGAGTGAGGCAGGAGTGAGCGAGGGGGGGAGGGTACGAACCGAAAAAACAATACAGCTCTCCGAGCCAACCTCCCTCACCCTTTGGCGGCGATCAAGACGGCGCGTGGCGGCGAGGCGGAATGCCGCCCCGTCCCTGCCAGACACCCTGCTCTGAAACATTCGACGACTCGATCAGAGAAACAATGGATGCGGCTTGTGTCGGGGATCCGGTTTCCTTCTATTTAAAGGACCGGGGGGGAGTGCAGGCGGACGGCGGCGGCGACGACGACGACACCGACTTCGACGGCAAGGGCGACAATAAGAGGAAGGGGAGGAGGAGGAGGAGGAGGAGGAGGAGGAGGAGGAGGAGGAGGAGGAGAAGGAGGCGGAGGAGAAGGAGGAGGACGAGGAGCAGGAGAAGAAGGAAGAGGAGGCGGAGGAGGAGGAGGAGCAGGAGCAGGAGGAGGAGGAGGAGTGGGGCACAGGCCCCACCGATATCATGGGAGGAGCTTCTTGGTTTAATGAGCTCGTGAATGGTAGTTTTCGGTGTGCACGTTGGGGCATGGGGAGGGAGCATAGAGAGCACCGCCGCCTCGTATGCTCAAGCACGCGGGATCACGTTTTACCTTACTGTGCCCGACGTCACGGGCCATGACGCCCGCCCCTGAGACAGGGGCGTCCTCGCCCTGGCCCCTGGGCTTTCGCATGAGGCTGAGTGGGGCGCTCGCCTGCGTGAGCTTCCTGAGCTCATGCTGGCGCGAGGGGCCACTACATGGAGAACGGCGCTCGGAGGGGCAGCAGTCGGCATGATCACGATCCTGGGCGCCCTGACTTGCTTGGCGTGGCCATGGCTTCCACGCCGCACAGGCCCCGCGCTGCCCGACAACGACATGCAGTCACTCAAGGACGAGCTCGAGCGGATGCGTGAGCTGATGCGGGCATCGGGCATGGCCGCAGGAGGTGACCATGGCGAAGGAGGACCCGACGGCGAGACCGAGGGGATGGCCGCCGCCGTGCCCTTTGGGATTCCCGGTGGGGCCCCCGCCCATCCGCCCGCCCTCGGCGCCAGCGGCACCGTCGCCAGCGGCTATGCGCCTGCGGGGGCCAGCGCCCTCGGCGACTTGGCGGGCTGGGCGGGGACGCCTGGGACCGCGGGTGGCGGCGAGGCCGTCCATCGTCCCACCGAGGTCGGCGCCACCAGCAAGGCAGGCGCATCCCTCGTGAAGGACTACTTGATGACCACCAGCGCCACCGCCCACGCGGACCCCTACTGGGCCACGAAGTTCTGGGACTCAGTGGCGAGACTCGAGCAGGGCGGCCGCCTCGACGTGTCCGTGGTGCACCTCTTGCGCGGGCACGGCTACGTGGGCGCAGGCGCCGTCACGGTGCCGAGGGTGGCCGACCTGGCCCGAGGGCTGGAGGCCTTGGCCTCCAGTGCTGCGCCCGCCCTCGGCGGGGCGGCGGGCCGCCCGCTGGGCCTCGGAGGCTTGGCCACGGCGGGAGGAGGCAGCCAGGAGACGAGATGGGGAGCCAGCCTCCCGCCAGACATGCAGAGGGCAGGCGCGGAGATATATCGAGCGATGGGAGCAGAAGGATGTACTTCTACGCGAGATTGGTTGTCGGCGCGATGCGGCGGGAGCCGCGCATCGCCCGCGTGGACCGATCTATGGACGTTGGCATCTACCGTGGACTTTGCCGTGCGGGACTGCAAGACCGAGGATGACCTCATGAAGTTCCTGAGTACCAACGACCTCATGGAGATCTCCCTCCGCCGCCTGGCGGCGTATATGTATGAGAGCAGGTCCGGTGACCGCACGGGAGCGCTCCACATGCTTGGGGTATCACCTCCAGGCAGCCAGACCGACGTCGCGCCGAGCTGGCTGGTTCAGTCGGCCACCGCCCACAGCAGAGCAGAGCACCAGAGGAACGAGAGAGTGGCCGCCGACCTGAGACGGCGGGGCGGCAAGGGCGACAAGGGCGAGAAGGACAAGACCAAGAAGGGTCCCCCGCCAGGGGGGCCAAGAAGGCCGAGTGACAGAGGGCGGCCTCGGCTGGGACAGCAGCTACCAGCCGAGGCAGTGAGTGCGGCCGCTGGGTCCAGAGGCAAGTGCTGGACGAGACCCACGGGCTGCGCGAGTTGCTGCACGCGGCGCCTGGCGCCAAATTGTACCCGATCCCTTTGGTAGAGGCTCCTGGGCGGCCAAACAGTACGTCCAATCGCCTACGCCAGCGTTTTCACAAGAAGTTCGCCCTGATGACTTCGGCTAATGAATACTTGTCTGCTCTGAACGCCATGCATCGGGGAGACTGCCGAGAGCTCACACGGGGGAGCCGTGATCATGATCGTTTGAAGGAGATGCTCCCCCACCACCAACGAATTCAGCGGCTGGCTCTACGTGGGGCAGCGCGTCTTCGAGAGGCGCGCCGGGGCTGCGGCCTGACAGGCGCCCAAGCCATCGAGAAGTTGGTGAAATCGGCAGCTCTATCATACACAGGAGCCCAGAGGCGCAAGACTGCGCATGAGACCCTTCGAGCCGATGCTGTAGATGAGCCCCTGGATCCCCGAGTGGCGCCCATGTTGTCCGCTTTGAGTCCAGAGGAAGCTGCCTTCTACTCCGAGGAGGCCCAAGTAGTAGCGGCCCCAGAGGCCCGTTCGCAAGCCATCTTCAGGGAGCTCGAGCAGCAGTACGGTTTCGCTGGAGGATCTGAGGAGAAGTACGCTAGATATTTCTTGAGGCAGGACATCGCCCCCAATCTCTGGAAGTTTGGGTTTCGTGAGGACGTTCGAGCAATTGCAGGATTCTCGGTGGTGCCCAAGAAAGACCCAGCTAAACAACGTAAGATTATCATGATGGTGGCCTCGAACTATATGTTTCAAGATGTACGTCCTCGCGAGGAGCATGAACTCCACGGCGGGGCAGCCCTTGCCAGCGTGCACGTGCCGAGCGATTTCGTCAGCGCGTCGGCCTTCGACGAGAGCAATGCTTTCACCTCGGTGGAGGTACCTGAGTGGATGTGGGCGTGGCAAGCTGTACCCCCTATCCGGGCCAGCCTGATCTGGGCTGTTCTTCCTTGGGACGTCCGGGGGCGGGCCAGGCCTGGTCATGGGGGGCTCGCACAGCGTCTACATCCTGATGACTATTAATATGACCAGCGTGGGCCGCACGCTCGTTCGTAGCTGCGGCCTGTGGCGGGGCTGCTCGGAGGAGGATTTCGACGTCAATGAGGAGGGCCAGTTTTTGGGTAAGAACGACGAGGATTGGGCCCAGGAGAGCAAAGTTAAGAAATCCGAGGACGTAGGTAAGGGGTTCACCGTGGACGGTTGGGTTCAGAAGGTCCTAGAGGTTAAGACGTCGGGGAAGGATGTCGTTGTCGTCATGCACCTGTTCGCGGGCCCGAGGCGGCCAGGGGATCTGGAAGAGTGGCTCCACGTCTTGGGGGCCTCGCACGGCCTTGAAATCTTGGTGCTCTCGTGTGACCTAGAGCTGGACCCCAACTGGGACCTCACCATTCCTGAGACCTTCCAGAAGTTGTGGGGCTTAGTGGCCCAGGGTTATATTGATGGGATTGTCGGAGGGCCTCCCTGCTCAACGTGGTCTCGGGCCCGCTTCGTCAAGTTGCTTGGGGGTCCGAGGCCGCTGCGTTTTCGAGGCAAGTATGTCTGGGGCCGCCCCGACTCCGAGCTTACAGAAGCTTAGAAGGGGCGAGTCTGGGAGTCCAACCTCTTGACCCTGAATTTCCTGTCTCTTTGCGATGGAGTCTCTGCCCAGGGAGGGGTGCGCATCCACGAGCATCCCGAGGGCCCGGGCGAGGATCCATACCCCTCAGTTTACAGCACGGAGGTGATGTGTGCCATGGAGGAGCGCACGACGGCCGTACGCGTGAGTCTTGATCAGTGCATGTACGGCGGCTTGGCTCGCAAGGCGACCGCGCTGTCGGGCACGGCCGATGGGCTTTGGGAGGGAGAGTGCCGATGTGATGGAAGACACCAACACCACAGGAGCATCGGGCGCATTGCGGGGAAGGGGGACCGGCCAGACTTCGCGACCACACGTTTGGCTACGTACCCGACGGCCTTCAGCCGCTTTCTGGCTTCTTGCCTCGTACGGAGCTTCGTCAGGAAGCGCCGAGAAAGGTCAGATCCGCTCGCAGTTGCTCCTCCCCCGCGTCGTGCTGCTAGGCTTTCGCAATGGTCGAGGCCGAGCAGTTCCCAGCGCGAGCGGGGGCTCCACATACTCAACGAGACTGCGTCAAGATGAACAAAAAACTGTCTTGAACAAGGGTGATGTAGGCTTTTACCTCCATATTGACGATGGCCTGGTGATGACGGATGGCCAGGACCACATAGGCTCCAGGGCCTCGAACATTTCCATGCATCGAGCTGCCGACGACCTAGTGGAGCTGGGTTTGAAGGTTACCGATCGGCGTGAATCAGACGAGGTGGACAAGGTTGTAGGTTATGAGATCCAGCAACATCCTGCTCGACTTAGGTTACCTGCTCCGAAGGCCGCGGCCCTGTACGAGGCCATGCTCTACCTAGAACGTCGCACCTGGGTGTCTCTGGATGCCGTATCTTCACTACTGGGAGTCTGGGTTTGGGCGGCGCTGCTGGCTCGGCATTGGCTTGCAGCGCCGCAACATATCTTCCAGTTTGCTAAGCAGAACGAGGGGTTCCCTGGGCGTCGAGGGCTCCGCAGATGGTGGCCCAGTGCTCTGAGAGAATGGAGGGTTATGAGGTGTGGGATCATGGGGCTCCACGTGGACCTGGGGGCCCCCATCTCGGAGGTGGTTCTGGCTACGGATGCTGAGGGGTCGAACGGTCTAGACTGCGGGGGCTACGGTTTTGTCGCCACCGCGACGTCGGACAACGAGGCCCGCCTGCTTTGGGAAGCCGGGACTAGACCTGGATATGCTCTCGCGCGCCTGGGTCAGGAGAAGCGCGTCCTCGAGAAGGCCCCCCGCTCGTTGCACCCCAACCTCCCTGTCAGTTCGGTCCCGAAGGAGATCTGGGATACGGCTCGCTCCTGGATCCCAGTCGCTGCCGGTCGGTGGAGGTGGGGGGAGCACATCGCGGTGGGGGAGATGAGGGCTGTCGTTCTGGCGCTGGAGAGGTTGGTGCAAGTTCTAAGTTTCTATAGGAGTAGTGACATCTTTCGAGGACAACATGCCTTGCTCGTACGCCATTGCCAAGGGGAGGTCCGCGGCGGGCCCTCTCAACTACCTTCTCCGCCGCCGATGCGCCCTGTGTGCCGCCGCAGAGCTACGCCTGTTGCTGCCTTGGGTCGAGGCGTGGTGGATGCCTGCTGACTGGGTTTCGCGCAGTAGGACATGGAGGGTGGCGTTCGAGGGCATCCCGCAGGGTCAGGTCCAGGGCGTCCAGCAGGCCAGGACGATCCAGAAGTGATCGATGTGCATGAGGAGGGGAGGGTCTCTAATTCTACCATCCTCAAGTATAAGGAGGCGGTTGTCCCTCTTATCAAGTGGTGTGTCAAAGAGGCGGTGGAGCCGTTCACCCCTGACCAGTGGGATGACGCTATCATGGACTTCAAGAGGTTTGGGGGCTCCGAGGCTGTGGGGATGGGGGTCCAGACTAAGTCCAAGTTCACCCTGCTCCTCGCGGCGGTGGAGTTCCGCTTTCCGCGCATGGAGGGGAGGCTGTGTCGAGTTAGGGCGGCCCTCAAGGGCTGGGACTATGCTCACCAACCTCGTCATACCGCCCCCATGATCAGTAACGTGCGCGCCTGGATGTGTATTCATTTTTGTGCCAGGGGCGTGCCGCGCCTGGGTTTCGGCATCGTGATCCAGGGCAAGTTCGGGATGAGACCAAGTGAAATGCTGGGAGTTGAGGCTGACGACATTACCCTTCCGGAGGACTGGGGTTATCCTGGAGGCTCTGGGCCTGTCGTCATCGGTCTGGGGATCAGGGCAATGACGAAGGCCAAGCGCCCGCAGTCTGTGTCTTTCCAGGAGGAGCTGGAGCCGGGCCTCGCAGAATTCTTCGTCGTCATACTCCCAAGGGCCAGCGGCTTTTCCCGTACTCCCTGGCCCAGTACCGTACCCTCATAAAGACCGTGCAGGCCTCGTTCAACCTTGACGTCGGGTGGGGGCCGCACAGCCCTCGCGCCGAGTTTGCTTCGGAGTCGACCGCCCTCGGGATCCCTTTCGAGACCATCAGGGAAATGGGAAGGTGGGGGGTCGACTCCTCGCTGCGCATCTATATTGATGTGGTTCAAGCGTCACAGGTAGGTACAGCTCTACGTGCAGCAGGTTTGCAGCCAGCCCTGGACTGGGCTGCTCGCTACTGGTACCCTACGTTCCGCCAAGCTTTCGATGGTTGGGTCCAGGACGCCCAGCATCAAGGCCGCGCTCCGCAAGGGCGCTGCCGCACAGGCCAAGGGCGAGGGCGTGGAGTCGGGCTCGGAGGTGGGCTCGTGGCTGGACGTGGGCAGCCCGGGAGCCAGCTCGGCGAGGGCGCCCGCCACGCCGATGCAGAACCGCGCGGACACGCCACCTCCTCGGACCCCAGGGGGCCTGGGCATGGGTGGGGCCTACTACCCTCCAGTGCCGCCGTGGGGTGCTACCACGCCGCCACCGTTCCCGGAGGTGCCGCCGCTGCCGCCAGCCACGCCCAAGGTCAGTGCGAAGATGCAGGCGGCAGCGGGCAAGCCTCTTGCCAAATCGCTTAGTGCGGGCAAGGGCGACCAGCTACAGTGGGTGATGAAGTGCGTGCCGTCAGGACCTCTTCTGGGCAAGCTCGTGCTGGCCGCCATGCTGCTGAGAATCCTCCCCGCCAGCCTCTTCCCCAACGCCGCCAGGGGCCTCATCGTCATGACGGACGTGGCGGAGGAGGTGGGATCCGCGGCGGGAAGGATCGTGACGGCAGGAGCGAATGTGAGCACGAGCGCAGCGAAGCTCGTGTCGGCAGTGACGGATGGGTCAATCGGCCTGGTCGAGGCGGCTTGGCGCGGCGTCGACCTGCTGGACGTTCAGGTGCTGGGCAGCACCGGCAGGTTCTCCGTCGAGGATGAAAACGACTGGCCCGCCTTCCTCCAGGAGCCGGAGGTCCAGCAGGCACTGCAGCTCGAGCCGGAGTTTTCTGATGAACTGGAGCGCCTTTTGCTCTACTCCTCGGCCACTAGGCCGAGAGGCGAATTCACACACAGTGCTTTCCGTTCTCCTAAGAGTTACCAGTCCGTGAGTTTTTGGGTCCGCTGGCTTCCCAGCGGCCACGTCGGGATCGCCTGGAGGGTGGTCACGATCCGCTTTCGCCCGCAGTGGGCGAACCCAGTGTGGGGGCTGCTCGGCATGGATGAGACCGCCGAGGCGCCAGCCATGGCCGAGCAGCTCAAGGTTTTGGCGGATTCGTCCTTTCCCGCGCCTGAGCTCGATCTCGGCCCCGAGATGCTCCGTGGCACTCCCGCCCTCCCTGGAGGGTCCACTCGCAGGCTCGTCCGACGTGTACGCCGCGCAGTGGCGCGGGTCCTTCAGTTTCTTTTCCCTTTCAGCAGGCGCGAGCAGCCGCGCCTCCTGGAGCCAGACCGCACAGCGAATACGGGCGACGGGTGGCACTGGCCTGGTTTCGGCTGGAGAGGTGCCGCTCGCGGGTGCGGGTGGTGGTGAGCGTTCTTGAGCCAGCCAGCCCAGCAGTCCAGTCCATTTGAAGCAATCGAGTTTCAGTTTCAGGAGAGTGGAGATTTGGAGGCCCCTGCATCAGATGCAAGGGCCAGGCTAGACACACGTGCAATAATAGTGTTGTTTGGTAACACCTGAGCGGCAGCAAAAAGTGTATCCCCGTCAGTGATAACCTGTCCTAGGGTCGGCCCCGACAATAGTGCTGAAATGGTTTAATGAGCTCGTGAATGGTAGTTTTCGGTGTGCACGCTGGGGCATGGGGAGGGAGCATAGAGAGCACCGCCGCCTCGTATGCTCAAGCACGCCCCTCCCGCGTCGCCGAGCGCAGCTTGACCCCTTTTTCTGTTTTCTCTGCTCTCGTCTCCTCGTCCCTCGCTCGCGTTCTTGAGCCAGCCAGCCCAGCAGTCCAGTCCATTTGAATCAATCGAGTTTCAGTTTCAAGAAAGTGGAGATTTGGAGGCCCCTGCATCAGATGCAGGGGCCAGGCTAGACACACGTGCAAGAATAGTGTTGTTTGGTAACACCTGAGCGGCAGCAAAAAGTGTATCCCCGTCATTAATAACCTGTCCTAGGGTGGGCCCCGACAATCGTGCTGAACGGGATATATCGTTGGGACCTGGGCCCTAACGACTTCATACGGTCTGGAAGAGCCCCAAGAGACCTTCACCAGAGCT